CGTCTCCACCAGTTAGAACATGCCATTGTGGACACAGGCCTCCTTGGCCACGCTGCAGAGGTGGGAACGCAGCGAGGTGCACAGGTCTGTGATCATCTCCTCGAAGGTCTCCATCCTCCTGGGGAGGGACGCACACGTCCACTCGCTCGTGTCCTCCCTGTGCAGCAGGACATGCTCTTGGCCCTGTGCCCCTCTATCAGCCCTGCTCAGCATCATCCTGTTGAACTCATCAATGATGATGGCAACGTCCCCCTGCGAGTCCTTGAGCTTGTGGTGGTACTTGAGCTTGCTGAGGTGGAAGCCCTGGCTCCTGCTTTGGGACCTGCTCCTCGTGTCACAGAGGGCGTCCTGCCACGGGGCGCGCTGGTCCCCAGGCTCGTGCCAGCCGAGCCCGCTCGGCCACGGGTCCCAGGGCAGGATTGTCACCTGCAAAGGGCTCCTGCTCCGTGGGATGGGAGCTTCTGGCACAGGAGATGTCTCAGACATCACCTGGGGACAAAAGTCTTTTGGGAAGATACTTTTGGAGGTAGAAAAAGGTGGTTTCCCATTCCTTAGGATGTGTTTTAGCTTATCATGGAAACGGAGGCACTCCATGTCCAAAGTGTGCTGGGTGATTCCCTCAAACCCCCTCCAAGTCCCCCACAGCGACCGTAACAAATGAGACTGCCCCACACAGTGTCTGTGCCTCTTCCAAGGCTCCTGGCACTTCCTGGTGACCACAAGGTTCCTGTAGTGCTTGGCAATCCCCCGCCTGTCCCTAATGGTGACATGTGGTGGGACGTGCTCGTTGCTGGTCTCCCCTGGGCTCATGGTCCAGCCATGCTCAGCCCGTGAGCAGCTCCCCTCCGTGCCCAGTGAGCCGCAGTCCTCGCTGCGCCCCGCTGAGTGCACCGAGCTCCCAGAGCGGGAGCCACAGTTAGTCCTTGTGCCCGCAGCATCCAGGGATCTGCTGTAGGAAGCTCCGGCTGTAAACGGGGACCATGAAGTCTCCTGGTTGGAGTCGCTGGAGGAAGCCTCAGGCAGATCTTCAAAGGTTGAATCCATGCGTGTGACTTTGCTGGGGAGCTGCTCGGAGCTCAGGAGCCCATCTGAGACACCGTCAGCATCACCCAGCTCCAGGCTTTCTACAGAGAGCACCCTTTGTGCAGGCAATAACACTGGGAAGGGGGGAGCGTGGATATTTCTGTCCTCCACCTCTGTGCTGGCCTGGTGCAGCTCAGGAAACACATCAGCTCCCTCAGCCTCGTGCTCCCCCTGGCTGCACCCAGACTGGAGCTCACACAGTGGCATCAGCAACTCCCCTGATGAAGATGATGCAAGACTGGCAAGAGGGAAGCTGCTTCCTCCTTCCAAGCCCTCAGGCACGATGGGTTCCTTCCCGTGGCTCCCTGCTGCATCTGCTGCTTGGTGCCCAGGGCTGGCACACGTGGGGCAGGTGTCCATGCAGCAGGACCATGGGGCAGCATCTGAAGCCGGACTCATGCCAGGATACAGCACCCTGGGGTGCTCACTGAGCACCGAATCTGGCTCAGTGCTGTGCAGACCTGCCTTGTGTCCATGTGGAGGAGAAGGAGGCATCGGTCCCGCGTGACCGGGCACAGGCACATCCATGGGGGAGCTCTCTGCTGGCTCTGCAGAGCAGGGAGCTGTGTCCTTTCCCACCTCTTCTGCACATCTGGGTTGTAAGGAGCCATCCAGGCTCTCAGCAGCACCTACTCGCTCGCAGGACTCCTTGTGCTGGCACAGGACTGGCCTCCACTCCCTTTGCTCTAACAGGCATTGGTGGGGGGCTGTGTGTCCACCATGGGGTGGAGAAGCAGAAGGGGGACCACGGGCAGAAGGGGACAGTCCATTTGGGTTGCTCTGCTGCTGCGTGGGGTGCTCCTCCATGGCAGACATCCCCTCCCTCACTGAGGGGGAAGGTTCTGGTTCCAGGAGGGGATGAAGAGAGGTCTCTGGCTCCTGGAGCGTGTGAGCCACCGTTGCTGTGCTCCTTTTGTTGCTGCGGGGAGACTCCTCTGCACTGAGGCACACATCAACACTGTCCCCAGCTTCAGAGCCATCTGCTATGGCTGTGTAAGCAAAGTCCTGGCCAGGACTTGCTCCTGAGGACTCCCCCAGCACATCTGTGCAGTTGGCAGAGGGGGTGTTTCTCTGTTCTTCCACCAAACCCTCGTCCCCTTCTTGGTTTGCTTCACCAGCGCTCAGTGAAGCGAGCTCAGCATCAGCATCACCTCCACACCCTTGGGAAAGGCTGCTGCTCCCTCCCACGTCACTCTGTGATGGAGACTGGATGCTCACCATGGTGTCCTGCTCCTCTGGAGCAGCCCTGGGACCTGCTGCTCTGTCAGGAGGTGTGCGGCAGACAGAGCTGGAGTCAGGGGACAAGGCCAGTGAGAGGCCCTGGCTGCTCGGTGACCAGGGACCAGCAGCTTTGCTCCCAGCAGACTCCCACCCTGCTGCACAGGGTGCACAGTCCTCGTCTGCCTCCTCCAGGCTGTCCCCAGCAGGTCCCAGGTTGCCTGTAACACTGTCTGGCTGTGTCCCACCAACCAGGCTTGGCTCAGGTGGTGATGGAGGCAATGACCTGCTGCCACAGGGCGACCCCCCATCAGCTGCACTGGCTGTGTGTGCCAAACCAGCACCCTCCACCTCTGCGTCTGCGGTGGCCAAAGCCTCTTCCAGCACGTCCAGCCTTGGTGCCACCTCATCAGGAAGCCCCCGAGGGCCAATCCCAGTCCCACCTGACAGCTCTGGCATTGATCTGCCTGGGCAGGGGGACGTTAAGGCAGGAGGGCTGGGCACAGGGACACCAGAGCCCTCTGGCCATGCTGGATTCACAGGGTTCTGCTCACTGTGGTCACAGTCCATGCTGTCATCACTGCTTCCAGAGAATGCCAAAAAGCCAGGCTCCAGCACCGTGCTTTCATATTCAGAGTCCTCCTTCTCTTCTTCTACCTCCTCCACCTCTTCCTCTGAATATCCAAAGAGGTCCTGCGATTCCCTCCCTTTCCTCCGGGCTCCACCAGGCTTTGGATTTCTGGAGCTTACTTCTAAGAACAGCCAACTACAGGACCCTTGTGGTCCATCACTGGTGGCCCAGCTGCTGTCCTCAACCTCCATACAGTGCCCGGTGTCTTTTGTGCTCTCTGCGTCCTCAGGAGGGCCGGGGCCATTCCCTGACCCTGCTGTCCATCCGCTCTCCTGCTGCTCTCCATGTCCATGCAGTGTGCAGGGGGCATCTCTCCAGGGAGCTGAACTGGGATTTGGGGCTTGGCTGCATGGACTTTCCTTGCCCAGCACAGTTGGGGGCTTGCTGGTATCGCTGAGCTCACCAGAAGGGCTGGGGGTGACTGTAGCATCCATCAGTCTCTCCTTGGGTGGCTCCTCCTGAAACAACACAATTCAGAGGTTAAAAAAGAAGAGATTATCAAACGAATATCAAAATGTCTTTGATATTAATATCAAAAGACCAGTGGATCAAGGGAAGTGATCCTGTCCCTCTGCTGTGCTCTGTGAGATCCCACCTGCAGCACTGGGTGCAGTGCTGAGGTCCCCAACATCAGAAGGACATGGAGCTGTTGGAGTAAGTCCAGAGGAGGCCACGAGGATGAGCAGGGGCTGGAGCAGCTCCTGTATGGAGACAGGCTGAGAACATTGGGGCTGTTCAGCCTGGAGAAGAGAAGCTGCTGGAGACCTCAGAGCAGCTTCAGTGTCTGAAGGGGGCTACAAGGATGCTGGAGAAGGACCTTCATCAGGGACTGGAGTGATAGGACAAGGGGTGATGGGTTCAGACTGAAACAGGGGCAGTTCAGGTTGGAGGTAAGGCAGAAGCTCTTCCCTGTGAGGGTGGTGATTCCCCAACATGGACACTTAAGATTCAGCTGCACAGGGTGCTGGGACATCTAGTCTGGGTCATGCTTTGCCTAGAAAGGTTGGACCAGATGATCCCCGAGGTCCTTTCCAACCTGGTATTCCATAAGTCTATGATCCTATGCCTGTGGCAGCCATCTGGGGGAGCTAAATGCTGGTGAACACTTCTCTGTCCTGCTTTGGGGACCTCCATTACCTGCCTCTAAGAGACCAACCAGCACCTCTGCTCCACTCCTCTCAGAAGATCCTACTCCTATAAGCACAAAACGGACTGTGTGCCCTGTAGACTCTTATCACCCACTCATAAAGCTCTTACCTCAGTGATGGTTGAGATGTGATGTCCATGCTCCTCAGGAACGGCTGCAGGCTCTTTGTCTTTCACAGCCAGGCTCTCCTTGGCATGCTCAGGCAGGGAAAGGCCCTCAGGACAGCTTGTGGAGGAAGGCTCCTCCTCCCCACAGGGCAGCTCTCCTGAAGAAGATGACACTGTGCTATCAACAACACCACGAGTCCCATCAGCATCAGTCTGAGAGTCTGCAGGGCTTTGCTCTGGGTGGAACTGACCCTGGCTACGTGTGGTGTGATCCAGAGAGCTGCTGGGAGTCTGGTCCGGGTCTGATCGAGAGTCTGCAGGGCACATCTCCAACCCAGAACAGTCCTCACCATCATCACTTAACTCAAGGAAGTCCCAAGTGGTGTTTATTGAGACATACTTCTTGGGGTTGCTGTGCTCCACCACAATCCTCGTGCTGCTCAGCAGTTTGGGTTTGCTGTAGAAGAGAGCCACCCACATGTGAAGTATCAGCTTCACCTCTTCCACATCTTCAGGGAGATCAGAGTCCCAGGGCCTGGAAGAGAAAGTAAAACCAGCCTGAAACATCTTCATCCTCCCTCCAGGTGACTGGCACAAGTCATCTCCTGGTTCCACACAGTGCCAAGCCCAGTGCAGGGGGTTGCAGATGCCCAGCTGCAAAGCAGGACTTGGGTTCATGGCTTTAGATATCAATTCCAGCTGCAGAGCCACAGGAATCATGGGATGGTTTGGGTTGGAAGGGACCTTAAAGCTCCTCCAGCTCCAACTCCTGCCATGGGCAGGGACAACTTCCACTAGAGCAGGTTGCTCCAAGCCCCTGTGTCCAACCTGGCCTTGAACACTGCCAGGGATGGGGCAGCCACAGCTTCTCTGGGCACCCTGTGCCAGCGCCTCAGCACCCTCACAGAGAAGAGCTTCTGCCCAAGAGCTCATCTCAATCTCCCCTCTGGCAGGTTCAAGCCATTCCCCTTGTCCTGTCCCTCCATCCCTTGTCCAAAGCCCCTCTCCAGGTTTCCTGGAGCCCCTTTAGGCACTGGAGCTGCTCTAAGGGGTCCCCTTCAGGAGCCTTCTCTTCTCCAGCTGCCCCAGCCCAGCTCTCTCAGCCTGGCTCCAGAGCAGAGCTGCTCCAGCCCTCGGCAGATGGGGAGAATCCCCTCCCTGAGCTGCTGCTCACGCTCTGGGGGTGCACCCAGCACACGGGGGGCGGTTCTGGGCTCAAGCACACACTGAAGCCGGGTCATGGGGAGCTTCTCACCAACGAACACCCCCAAGTCCTTCTCCACAGGGAAGACACCAGCTTTAACACAGCAAAACTGTGTTCAACACAGGGAAAAGGGTCATTGTCACGCTAAGCAAAAATAAAGCAAAGAAAGCCCCTTCCAAAAGCACTCCAACAGGAGACCTCCTCTGCAGATGGCCTTCCAGAGTGACTTACCCATGCAGGGCACGGTTGACTGTCTTCTCCAGGGCATCATTGGTGTATCTGCTGTCCAAATGGAAGAGATACTGCGCATCCCAGTGGCATGTCACCTTTATGGACTCACCACAGATGTTCACTGTGTGGCTTTTGGCAAAGTTCTCCTTCATCCTGGGGCTGCTCCTGCGCCTCGTGGCCATGGCCTGCGGGTGCCTGCTGCTCTGCTGGTGCCTGAAGGGCAGCACCTTCCCAACCAGGGGTCTTCCTCGGGTGCTCCTGGTCCCATTTCTAGCGGGTGCTGGTGCAGGGTGGGGGGTACCTTTGGGATACACGTGTTTCTTTGAGCACTCGGGCATCTGTGAGGCGTATGAGTGCTCAGCAGAGATGATGGTGTTACTGTTCACCTTGTTCACCTTGGCAGCTTTTGGAGTCTCTTTTGGAGGCAACGCATGGGGTTTTCCTGGCCTGGGCCTTAATCCCTTCTTCATACAGAAAACCTTGGAGTTTTTCTCCCTGGGAATAGAGGCCAAGTCATTTAAGTCAGGAAGCTTCTGGTTTGGCACCGCTTTGCTAAGAGAGGGGTCTCCCTTTGCCAGCTGGTTCAGCCTGTGGTATTCATGGTCGGAAGCAACACATGAGGATATATTCTTGGGATGACTTTGCTGCTCCTCTGGAGAGCCACTGGAGGGGCTGCAGGACTCGGCCATCACCTCATTGTCCACGGGGACAAACAAAGAACTACAGGAACCCAGAGCCAGGTCAGCCAGCAAGTTCAAGGCATTGGGCTCGTAGCTGTTCCCCTTCAGGTTGAAATCAGGATCACCAACCCCATCTGGGCAAACCTCACCCATTTTGCTGTCAACTTCTTGGTGCTGGGAAGAAGCTTCTCTTAGGAGAACAGAGGATGGCTCCTGGTGCTCTGAGTGAGGAAAACAAAGAGATTAAATGAAGGCCACATGGTTCTGCCTTGAGAAGGGGTTGAAAAGGCTTTCAGTTTGGCAGGAAAAACTGTCTCTCCAATGTGGAACTTACACACTTAAACCAAACCCCACCTCCATGGACATGACCCAGAGTTGGGAATGTAAGTGATTTTAGGAAGGGAGTTTATTCTCAGAACTAAAAGGCATGGAATCCAAAGTGAACAAATGTCCCTTGGCCTCTGTGCACGGGGTTGTTGTTTGGCCACTTAAATACAACCTGAGATATTTCAGGTGTTTCCTTCATCCTTTTTATTTTGTTTTACATTTTATTCTAGTTTGAGGATTTGGAATCTTCCCAGCTGACCCCTGTGCTGTGCTTCCAATAATCCATTGCAAAACTCACCCCAAACCTCTACAACACAGAGGAAACCCACTGTGCCCTCATGCTTCCTACTCCACACCCTCCCTAGAGCACACCCTACCTCAGAGCAACACAGAAACCTTTCTTCACAAGCCAGACTTGTCCAGCTTCATCCACTGCAACCCAGCAGCCTGATGCTGTCACTCTGCACCCACAGCCTTGGCCTCTCTGTGTGTTATGATCCAAAGGCAGCCACAGCACAGCAAGTAAGTGTTCATGTAGTTTTCAGTGTTAAAAATGCCCCTCACCATGGCTCTAGGCCCATGTTCATGAAGTCATTAAATAAGATTAATGTCTTCTACTAAAAAACAGCACAAAAAGATCTCCCTTCAAGTAAAACCTTATTAAATCACATCTGTGTTAAAGTCCTATGTGTTACATTTCATTTCCTTCAGAATTGCATATCCATATCTGCATATTCAGTATCTGAAGAGGGCTGCAAGGATGCTGCAGAGGGACTCATCAGGGACTGAAGTGACAGGACAAGGGGTGATGGGTTCAGACTGAAACAGGGGAAGTTCAGGTTGGAGATAAGGCAGAAGCTGTTCCCTGTGAGGGTGCTGAGGCGCTGGCACAGGGTGTCCAGAGAAGCTGTGGCTGCCCCATCCCTGGCAGTGTTCAAGGCCAGGTTGGACACAGGGGCTTGGAGCAACCTGCTCTAGTGGAAGGTGTCCCTGCCCGGGGCAGGGGTTGGAGCTGGAGGAGCTTTAAGGTCCTTTCCAACCCAAACCAGGCTGGGATTCTATGAGAGGCAGCATTTGATACACACATACTGACGAAAAATGCCACATTTCAGGAATACATGGCAATAAAAGGTCAAGAAGAACGGAAAAACTGAGCTGAGGTGCCTGAACCTGTCTTCAAAGCCTCCAGGAAGGGGAAAAAGATCAGAAACAGTTGAAAAAGGACATCAAAGTGTGAGAAAACACAGCAAACTAACAGAAAACAACTCTCCTGATCCATCCATTATGGTCTTGGCACCATAACACTGGGTCCCAGTTCACTGCAGGCTCCCAGCCAGCACCTGCAGATGCCACACTGAGATGTTGTCCCCTCAGGGGCTGCCTCTCAACTGTGCTGCAGTCTGCAATGGCTGTGACAATTCCACTCTTCATCCCAGCAGTTTGCCAGGGATGCAAACTGAAGGAACAGGAAAGGACTCACAAGAGCCCCCGTGTGGTTTGTCCGTCCTGTAACAAGGATTTTCACCATCACCTTTGCGTTTTAGACTGGGTTGGGTGCTTTATCCACACAGTTTATACAAGTGGGTGCCTGCAGGCTGGGGGGGCAGCAGCACTCAGCCCCCAGTCCACAACCCCAGCATTAAATATCATAAAGCCCTTTTGGCTGCTGCCAAATGTGCTGTTATGACCATCTGGTTGTGACCTGCCTGTGATGTTTGATGGCTCAGCTCTTAAAGGCAAGATTTCCACAGGGAACAGCACTCTTACCACTTCCTGCTCGCCTCTTGGCTCGACGTTTTGAGGATCTTTTAGCCGCATGTTTTAACACCTTCCTTTTCACTGGCTTTGTGACGCTCTCAGCAACAGGAACGTTGCTCATGTCCGTCTCCTTCAGTAGCTTTGGTCTCTTGGTTTCCAAGGCAGGAGCATCAGGAGCTAAAGTTTCCTCCTGAACAGCTCCAGACTGTGTTTTGTGCATCAATTCTGCAGACAGGACCTCTGCACCTGGGGCAGGGAAAAGGGAGAGCATCACCTTTGGTTTGAGACATAGCAGACTAAAAAGGAGTCACTGCAAAATACCTTGTTAAGGAACATGAGTGAAGTATAAGGAATCACAAGGAAAAGATAAGGGGTGATGGGCACAAGTTACTCCCGGGAGATTCCAGTTGGACACAAGAGGGACATGTTTCACCATGAGAACAATCAGCCATTGGAATCATCTCCCCAGGGAAGTGGATTCCTCAAGGTTGGACCCTTAAGCTTTGGCTGGGACATCTCGTCTAGGTCATGCTTTGCCTAGAAAGGTTGGGCCAGATGATCCCTAAGGTCCCTTCCAACCTGGGATTCCATGATTCTATAAATGTGGAATGCTTTAGAAGGGATTGGCAGTAGCAGGAGTAGTCTTCCATGACTTTGTTTATGCATCTGAGCTTCCAAATGGGTTTGTTACTGATGGGAGTGATCAGTGAGCAGTTATTGAAAGTTAAGCATCACTCATTAAGCTCATTAAAAACTTGTTTTCCTGACCTGGCATAGGTGTTCTCCAGGGAAAAAGTCACCCTAATCCCTGCCTGGCACAGGAAGTAGCCTGAGGGCACTTATTTACCTCTCCAAGAAGCACAAGTACCTCTCCCAGAGCCATCAGCAATGCCACCCTTGAGGCAAGGTGCCTCAGGACTGTGACTCAGAGGTGACTTCACCCCAGCTGCCACCCCCTGTGCTGCACAAAAGCCCATTACCAGTCACTGCCCTGTCTGTGGTGCGGGTAAATGTGAGAGGAGGTCACAAAGGACGGCACTAACTTTGCAGTGCTCTTCTGGATGGTTTTGGCTGTGTTTCATCACCATGGTTGAGATACATCTCAACCTGCTTCGAGTGTCTCTGTACATCCAGCAGAGGCTTAGGCTGGCTCAAAAGGACAGGTTTAACTGTCCTCAGCAGTGAGAAGGAGCCTTCAGAGAACAATTTAAGCCATTGACACACTCACATGAGCAGCTCAGGCCAGACACCAGCCTCCAGCACAGTAAGTCAGGTGGGACCAATGTCACACTCCTAGTTTTCAAGGCCACAGCAACAAAGATGACTCAGGGAGTCACAACGTGACCATGTAGGTGGCTGGTTATCTACAGAGCCTGGAACAACCATGCCTTTGGGAACTGCTTCCTGCCATGGACAGTCTGTGGGTAAGGGATGCACTAACCATGGCCTGGCTGATGTCCTTGTGCACCATCACCCCATAAGCAAAAGGAAGGCAACAGTGTGGAAAATTGCACTGAAAACCCCTGTCACAGCCCTGGGCTCCTTAGACCTGTTTCACAGAATCCCAGCCTGGTTTGGGTTGGAAAGGACCTTAAAGCTCCTCCAGCTCCAACCCCTGCCCCGGGCAGGGACACCTTCCACTAGAGCAGGTTGCTCCAAGCCCCTGTGTCCAACCTGGCCTTGAACACTGCCAGGGATGGGGCAGCCACAGCTCCTCTGGGCACCCTGTGCCAGCGCCTCAGCACCCTCACGGGGAAGAGCTTCTGCCCAAGAGCTCATCTCAATCTCCCCTCTGGCAGGTTCAAGCCATTCCCCTTGTCCTGTCCCTACAGGCCCTTGTCCAAAGCCCCTCTCCAGGTCTCCTGGAGCCCCTTTAGGCACTGGAGCTGCTCTAAGGTGTCCCCTTCAGGAGCCTTCTCTTCTCCAGCTGCCCCAGCCCAGCTCTCTCAGCCTCTGTTCATAGGAGAGGTGGGCTCAGGAGGTGTCTGCTTGCACTGGGCACCCGAGGGGCTGGGAAGGGGACATTGCTCCTAGTGAACCCTGAGCATCCCAGCTTCTGGAGAAGCAGAAGGAAGTTTAGTGCCATTTATACAGCACTTACCTCTTTTCCTTCTCCGTGGCAACTGCCTGTTGGCTAATTTAAGTGTGGGCTCATCGGAACTGTCTGTGAATCCTGGCTTTTCAGGATAAGATGAAGCAAGGTTGATCTCCTTGGCTGCTCTCCTGTTTCTGCTGCTTTCTCTCACTTGCTTCTTGAGGAGTGGCAATTCATCCTTGGTGCTGGTTCTAACCTCTTTCCTGGGTTTCTTCCTGCTCCTCTGCACCCAGAGCTTGCTGGCTGAGCTGACATCTTCTGCAGACGTCTCATTACTCTGGTCCAGCCGCAGGCTGGTCTTTGGGTTTTCACTGCTGACTTCTACCTCTGCTGCTGTGTTGAGGAGAATCAGATCTGGTGGCAGAGGTGAAGACAGGTCTGTTTTACCAGCCGCCTCTGAATCACAGTGAAGAGGCTGAGCAGCACCAGTCACACATTCTAAGGCAGTTGACAATGCCAGAGTGTAGCTGCTGGGATCAGAGAGGTAACTCTGCAGCTGGGAGAAGGACTCCTCTGAACACTTCTTAAAGGGAATAATACATTCATCCTCGGCTGGTGAGAGGAGAGAAGAAATGGGAACTCCACTGCTTTGGCCAGAGTTAGGCCTTGTGTTTTGATTAAGCTTTGCATACTCCTGGAAGTGGTGTTTGACACATATGCTGGGACACACTGTGTCTTGCCCTGAAGAACTGGTGGCTTTCTGTAAGGCATAGTGGAGCCCAGGCAAAACTGAGGCTATTTTTAATGGGATGTCACTCTTTTCCCTTTCATCTCTTGGATGGTGCTTTGCAGCTATGGAAGAAAAAGAAAAGCATTTTATTTGTATTAAAACCAGGGTTTAATTCCCCAAATCACTTCCCTGCTACATGCAAAGAGAACATGAAAGCTATGAACAAGCCCCAGAAGCTGACCTACAAAAAGCTAATCCCAGGGTGATGTCCTGGTTTGAGAGATGCTGAAGGTAGAAAAGAACTGCTAAGATGAAAGGCTGCTGTTGTATCAGTTAGCCCCATTATGCAGGGAATTACAGGGGGAGATCACATACACAGTGGTCTAATTCCCTTCATTCCAGCAATTCTCACTAAATCCAACATTTAGGACACTCAGAGGTCTCAGAACACATGGGTTTTGTTGGGTTTTTAAACCTGCTTCAGTTCAGGGCTGCCCATGGAGGGTGTTTAGGCCAGCACCACTTTCAGATCACTTCTGTTGTGTATGTCCCTGTTCAGATGCTGCTTTCAGTAGCTCCATCCTGCTGTCAGCAGGGGAGGACCCACTTCACATGAAGACAGCACATTAGTGCTATGAAGTGGGATGGGGAACATGGACTTCCCAAGCAGCCCTGGTCAATGGATAAATAAAGAACCCCTGGGTGATCTTCTAAAGCTGGAGGACTGATGCTACTGAAAGCAGTTGGTGTTTCTCATTCCAGCAGGACTAAAGCCTGTCATTGAAGTGCAGCTCCCAATAGGGATCAACATGAAGGAGCCTCAAGGGTGGCCCCCTCTCAGATGTCACTGTGGAAGTAGGCTCTGCTTGGCACAGCAGCGTTCCCTCAGTGTCCAGAAAAGCCTGTGATGTCCAGAGCCTGTCAGTGGAATCCCTTTCTGCACAAGCCAGACCTATCCAGCTTTATCCACTGCAGCCGAGCAGCCTGATGTTAGCGCTTTGCACCCACAGCCTTGGCCTGTCTGTGTGTTATGATCCAGCTCTGAGGTTTTGGCTGCAGGGCCGGGCTGACACTGCCTTTCCCCATCCCGTCTCTTCCCAGGACGTATTTCTCTTCCCTCCCAGACATGTGATATTCTTTGCCTATTGGTCCTTGTTACCAGCAAGCCCAAGCAGAGCTGTGAGCCTGCTCCCAGCTTCCTGCCTCTGCCGCTGGCTCTGGAATGCTGTGGCCCCTCTGTATAGCAGGCTTGTTCTGCCCTACATTCCTCCTGAGGCTGTCTGGACAGGAAGGGAACAGATTCAGAGGCTGCTTGTTTTGAAACAGGAAACATTATTCATGCTCTGAGAAAGTTGGGGCTGTTCAGCCTGGAGAAGAGAAGCTGCTGGAGACCTC